GACACATGGGGAGGACATGTTCCTCGGTGTTCTGAGAGAGCCTGCACCTGCACCTGCACCTGCACCTAGTCCTTATTGTCCATAGACACAAAATCCAGGCTCCTATGATCATCCTAGCTATGCTGATGCCTGTATGTTTGATGCTAATCAGCCGCTTAGTTGAAGTTATCCCAGCCAGAAATTAGCCATCACCTAAAACCTAATGAAGAGTGGTGCTGGAATGGCACAGGGGTTGGGTGGAAGGAAGGGCAGGACTGTGGAGCTTAATGACTTGGCAGATACCCCCCAAGTGCGTTTGAGTGTAGAGTCCTGCCTTGGACTCTGCAGGGAGGGAAGGAGGAGAGGAGTCCTGAGGGGACCTTATATGTCCCTTAATATAAAATTCCCACACGTCCCATTCCCCACCTGGCCATGATCCCTGTCTCAGTGTGTCCAGGGACACTCTGTGAGTTGATTGCACAGCTGGCTGTGTCTTGCACACTGTCTTTGTCAGCTCAGGCTGCCACAACAAAATACCACAGACTGAGGTGCCAACAACAGACATTTATTTCTCATAGTTCTGGAGGCTAGAAGTCCAAGAGGAAGGTGCCAGCAATGTTGGCTTCTGGTGAGAGCCCATTTCCTGGCTGGCTGACAGCCCCTTCTCACTGTCCTTGCATGGTAGAGAGAGAAAGAGAGAGCACTCTCTGGCGTCTTTTCTTATAAGGGCACTAATCCTATCAGATCAGGACCCCACCAGTATGGTGTCATTTAATCTTAATAACCTCTTAAAGGCCCTATCTCTGAATTTGGGGAACATAACTCAGTCCACAGTACACATCTTGAATGTGTACTATGTAAAAAGAAGGGAACAGACTGGTGCCTCCTATGAGGTGGTGCCATTGTGCCCCTTCTGCACTGAAGGGGCAAAGCCAACTCACTGTGGTTACTGCCTGAAGTCATTCCTCTCCTACCTTAGAAGCCCAAGTTACCAGACTCACAGAGGAACTGGGAATTTTCTAAAAGGTTATTTTATTTGTTTTCTTACAAGTGATTAATTAAATATTTAATAGATTTTAGATGGAAAATTTAGTAATAGTGAGGTCACATGGCCCAAAGATAAAAGTAGCTGCCCCCAGTATTGCAATCTCATAGGGATTGGGCATTACCTAGGGAAATGTCCAGAGGCCCAGGGTTCAGCCTGGCAGGGTTTTGGAGTTAGTTTGCCTTGGTGAGACTTCCTTTGTGGTGACTGCAAGTCTTGTGCACCTACTACTATGGACTGAATGTTTGTGTCCCCTAAAATTCATATGTTGAAACTCAAAAATCCCTGACGTGATGGTATTAGGAAGTAAGGCCTTTGGGAGGTGATTAAGTTTGAATGAAGCCATAAAGGTGGGACCCATGATGGGATTAGTACCCTTTTAAAAGTAAGCAGAGAGCTCTTCTCCCTCTCTCTCCACCACATGAAGACACAGTAGGAAGGCAGCCATCTGCAGACCAGGAAGAAAGCCCTCACTGGAACCCACCATGCCAGCACCCTGACCTCAGGCTCTCACCCCCAGAACTATGAGACATAAATGCCTGTTGCTTAAACCACCCAGTCTATGATATCTTGTTATAGTAGCCAGAGCTAAGACACACCTACCTGGTACACTCCCTTTTCAGCAGCAAATCCCTGGAAAGATAATTAAAAGGAAGACGAGCCCTGAGGAGCGCAGTCTATCTCCCAGGATCACCTCCCTCCTCTGCTACTCACCAGCCCTGTGAATGTGGGCAGGTAGCTTGACCTCTCTGATCTCTGTTCCCTCATCTCCAAGTGAGGATGACACAGATGACACACTCATCTCAAAGGGCTGTTGCAGAGGCTAAGTGAGGTCATGCTCATGAAGCGCCTACACCACGTTGGCCGTGGTCACTGAAGGATGTGCACCTGTTAACAAGCTCAGACACCATGGATCCAGTGCCACTTTCCCATGACTTGTGTGGGATGGCTCTGCCAACTCCTGACATTTTATTTTACTTTTTAAATTTATTTTTCAATTATAGTTGACCTATATATTATATTAGTTTTAGTGTACAACATATTGATTAGATATTTATATACCTTATGAAATTATCACCTAGTAAGTGTAGCACCTTTCCGACCCCATATATAGTTTTACAGTATTATTGACTAAAACTACAATGAGATATCACCTCATACCTGTCAGAGTAGCTATCACAAATAAATCCACAAACAACAAGTGTTGACAAAGATATGGAGAAAAGGACACTGCTGGTGGTATTGTAAGATGGTGCAGCCACTATGAAAACAGTATGGAAGTTCCTCAAAAAATTAAATGTAAAACTACCATATTCCACTTCTGCGTATTTATTCAAAGAAATCCAAAACACGAATTCCAAAGATATGTGCACCCCTATGTTTATTGCAGCGTTATTTACAATAGCCAAGATGTGGACGCACAACCTAAGTATCCATTGATAGATGAATGGATAAAGAAGATTTGGTACATATATACAATGGAATATTACTCGGCCATAAAAAAGAATGAAATCTTACCATTTGCAACAACATAGATGGTCTGAGAGGGTATTATACTAAGTGAAATAAGTCAGATAGAGAAAGACTAAGACTAATATGAGTTCACTTATATGTGGAATCTAAAAAAACACAAAATAAACAAAACAGAAACAAACTTATAGACACAGAGAACAAATTGATGGTTGCCATATGGGCAAGGGGCTTGGGGACTGGTGAAAGAGGTGAAAGGGATTAAAAAGCACAAATTGCCAGTTATAAAAATAGTCACAGAGAAGTAAAGTACAGCATAGGGAATAAAGGCAATTCCTGACATTTGAGATGTCTCTGTTCTATGCTCGAGGGCTGGGTTACATTTTTAACAGTAAAACATTTTCTTCCATGTCAGGTCTTATGTGGAATCCTGATATCTAAACCTGACGGGTGTTCAGCTGTGCTGGTTGAAGCTGGTGCAGGACGAGAGGCCCCGTGTGCCCTCCCCCTCTGCTTCTTGAAGGAGCCCATTTGAGAATCACTCCTCTAGGCTGTCCCTCTCTCTTTCTGTTCCCAGAGTCTTCCTCCTAGGAGAACACAACGTGATTGTTTAAGTTTCTGCTTCCTAAGTAACAATCTCACTCTGGTCTTGCTTTTCTAAGGTCAGCAGGGTGGGAGTTTTAAGTCTCCCCTATTTCTTCAGTCATACATATATTTACTGTCTTTTGGCCACTTTGCAGGTAGCTAATCCCCTCAGGTGTGTATGAACTTTGCCTCTTAACTCACAGAAGCCCACTTTAGTTCCTAGATTTTGGGATGCTATATATTGTTGCCCAATATATAGCCAACCTCTGGAAATGAAATCAAATTTTTATTGCTCAATAAGGCTGCACATATAAATAAATCCACAAACTGGAAGAAAATTATTTGTGATATTTTCTGTCTTAGTTTTTGGTTTGGAAATGGGTGACGGTAGCTATGGGAGCAATGCACAGAAAGGACAGTGAGCATGTCCATCCACACCAGCTGCACAGAATCAAGGGCTGCGTGTTGGTAAAATCCATCTGGCTCGATTCCCCATATTGATTTTCTGAGTGTTCAACTTTTGAATGATAAGCTTGATATTTCTTTTTTTCTTGTAATAGCTTTATTGAGATATAGTTCAGATACCACACAATTCATTCCTTTAAATATATAATTTAGTAGTTTTTAATGTATTCAGAGTTGTGCATCCCTCACTGCAATCAATTTTAAAACATTTTTATCACCCCAAAGAGAAATACTGTGTGTGCGAGCCCTCACTCTCCACTCCTCCCAATTTAATCCCCCACCCCTGCCACCCCTCCAGCAGGCAGCCACTAATCTACCTTCTGTATCTATGGATTTGCCTATTTTGAACAGTTCATATAAGTGGAATGATCCAACATGTGGCCTTTTGTGACTGATTTGTTTCACTTAATACCATGTTTTCAAGGCTTATCCATGTTGTGGCATGTATCAGGACTTCCTTTCTTTTTATTGTCAAATAATACTCCACTGTATGGATATGCCCCATTATGTTTGTCCACTCACCAGTTGAGGGGCTTTGGGCTTTTCCATTGTAAGGTTATTATGAATAATGCTACTATGAACATATGTTTACAAGTTTTTGTACAGAGATTTTCAATTCTATAACTTCTACCAAGAGAATGAACGATATCAATGGTTAGATTTGATTATTGGTGCCAGGTACTGTGCTGAGCACTTCACACATACTATTCATGTAATCTTCACAATAGCCCCCAAAATAGGCTTTCTCCCCATTTTATAAATGAGGAAACTGAGGAAGCAAGTCCCATAGCTAATGTGGGGTGGAGCTGGGATTTGAACCCAGGTCCTTGTGACACCATAACACTTGTCTTTAATAGTACTTACAGAAGTTGGGCAGCAATTGGGACCACACCAACCCCATGAGTTTGTCTTACTATTCTTAATGTCCACTGAGGAAAAGTTCAGAGAAACACCATAGCTGCCTGGGTGGGTGACATGGCTTGTCAGAGTCAGAGCCTGGAGACCCAGCACTAAGCAGTGTCCTAGAGCTGCTCCTTATGTTGCAACTCTCCAACCTGCCCTCAGGGAGAGGTTCTCATGTGCAAAAAATACCCTTTCCGGAGGACAGTTACTGCCTCCCTTCCTTTGCACACATGTACCTGTGTGTGCACATAGAGATATAACCAAGGGTACCACCATGCTTGGGCCTGGGGACCTCATACAGATAGAGCCCCAGTGGCCTGCCATGAGATTACCAGGCTCCTGAGGCAGATCCACATTAGAATTCACTGCTACCCCTGGCTGCAAACCAAGACCCTTAGGATGCAGAGGACTTGTCTAAGGGATGGTTCTGAGGATGGCTGGTGGACAGCGACGTGGGGGCCTCCTGGCAGTAGGTGGAAGTGGTGGGAGACTGGAGAAGGAGGAAGAGTGCGGGAGAGGTACCAACTGTCTGCATGTGGTTGCCTGCCCACAGCTGCTATCTTGGATGACCCCATGGAGTGCAGCAGAGGGGAGCGGCTCTCCATCACCCTGGCCAAGAACCGCATCAACCGTGCTCCTGAGAGGCTGGGCAAGGCCAAGGTTGAAGTGGACATCTTTGAGCTCTTAAGAGACAGCGAATATGAGACTGCAGAAACCAGTACGTAGAATGGGCAGAGCTGCCCTTTGCTTTTCTTGCTATCAGAGGGGCTGGTGGTGTAAATGATTTGAACCCATCACCAGGCCTATGATGTAGATATGTCCAAAGGAGGGAAAGAAACATACCAGGAGGCCCTATACTTAGTCTGGATGAGATTCCCAGGTTTTGTGGTGACTCATGGTTGGAGTAGAATTAAGACAGGATACTCATTCATTCATTCATTCATTTACCCATTCATTAATTTCTTCCTATGTTGATTCATTCATCCTCCTGGACATTTTGTACTCAAATCCCTGAATAAAACGCTGTGTGTAATTAAGATATGTGGCCAGCCACGGATAGCTGAGTCATTGCACACTTGACTTCCTGTCTTGCTTTCTTGTGATGAGGGCAGTGTTGTGGGAATAACTTGGGCCTTGGCATGGAGTTTGGTTATTCATTCTGTGGGTAACCTTGGACAACTCACTTATCCTATTTAACCTCAGTTTCTTCATCTGTAAAATGGGAAGTCTAGGATCTACTCTGCAAATTGTGAGATTGAAATGACTTAAAATAAAGGAAAATCCTTTGTGAGTTGCAATGCTTTCAAACACACATAGTAGGCCACTCAAGTCACACATCTAGAACACCTACTGTGTTCTGGGCCCTGCTTTTAATTTTCCCAACAATCCAAGATTTAGGTGTTATTATCCCCATTTTATAAAAGAAACTGAGGCTGAAAGACATTGGACAACTTTCTCAACAACAGAGCTAGTCAATGACTAAGTGAGTTTTGGACCCTGAACTCGCATCATTAATCTGAGAGTCCAATGCTCAATCCACGACACCTGCCCTGGAATTCTCTGGCATGTTGCTGGTGTTACCTTGACAGCTTTATAGTATGAGCTTCTGAGTTAGTGGGCTGGTAGCTTGTAGCTCAGCTAGAGATGAACAACTCCAGTTTAGAAGGAGCCCCTTAGCCCAGAGAGATGATAGCATCTATTTCCTAAGACTGTACAGTCCCCATCTCCTCCCTTGCTAGCCCAATTAAACCTTTAACAACATGCAATGGCAAAACAAAACAAAAGAACAACTTGCTCGAGTACACATATCAGACAAGTACCCCTCCCATAATGGCCATCCAGGTCCGATTGACTCTTTGTTTATCCAGGAAACTTTTGTGGAACATATACCCTATTTCAGACATGACTCAGGATATCATTCTTTGAGAACAATGCAGAAAGCAGGACAGACACAGTCCCTGCCTTCAGGCTGCCTGCATCTCTGTGTTGTGCACATCAGTGGCGGCTTCCCTCAGTGCCTCTTGGTTTGGATTCCCAAGGTAAAAGATTGGATTGGTTCAGCTCATCTTGCCTTGGCTGGTCTCACAACTCACAGGTGTTGGCCAGATGGTCTAATAATTCCCCTTGCAGAGAGTGCCTACCTCTAGAGACTGAGGGTAGGCTCTTACCATACAGAAGGGAGCAGTTGAGACCAGCAGGATCTATGGACACAGATTCTCCAGAATAGCACTTGAGGGAATGGGTACCTGAAATTGTTAATCATTTATTAACTTGGGCAGTCAATAAATATTTAGTGAATATCTCTTATACACAGTTCTAGGCAGTGGGGATTCAGCAGGGAACAGATAGAAATCCTAGTTGTCATAGAGGTTAAATTCTAGTACTCTGAAAGAGAGATTTAACTTTCCTAATGAAATCAGAAATGCTAGCAATGACTTTGTGGATCTCCTAGTCAAGTCTGTAGTGCTTCTGTGTGCCAGAGGGCAGGTCTCAGACAAGGGTCTGGCTTGAAAAACCAGCTCCCCTTCCTTTTCTTTGGTTCTTCCAGGCTTTCCTGGCAGAACCGAGACAACAGTTTGCCCACTGCTGATGGGGATCATTAGCAGATATAAACTTTCTCTTCCATGACCCACGCACTCTTGCTCAGTAGAGTCAATACACCTACGATATTTAGCCAGATGAGTCAAGGGTATAAAGGAAACTGATGTTTTTACTCTACTTTAGAGAGCTCTGGGGAATCTTTCTAATGTCCTTCTTTTAGGCACCAAATATTTTATTAGCAAGTGGTACTTGGTTCAACTTTCATATCTCAATGCATTTGAGGCACGAGTAGCATTTGTTAGAAAAGAGGCCTCTATCGTTTTACCTCCAAGGCCTTTTAGCTGAAGCCAGAGCTGCTCCCTAACAATGGATTTTAAACACTACTCAGATAGTTCTTAGAAAGGTTCCAGCCCAGTCCTTTCCCTCCCAAAGTAAGGAGAAAGATGAGTGATGGATTAGTGCTCTGAGCAGTGTTGGGGAGGAGGGAGGCAGGATGCCTGGGAGGAGGAACTATAGCTCTGTGATCCTTACTTTGAGGAGACTGTGTATTATAAAGAGTGGGAGCATGGATTTTAGAATCAGACTAAACTGATTTAAATCTTTGCTCTACTGTTTATGAGCTGTGTGACTATAGATGGTTAAATCACCTCCTAGGTTCATCAGGAGCATGCCCGCCCGAGACAGCCTAGGGAGGTGCTCAGCACCATGCACACAACAGGTATTTTCTCAGTAAGGGGAGCTGTAGAGTTTGTCATTGCCTTTATTCTCTTACCCTCACCTTGGGGCAGGCTTCATCCCACCTCCTATCATCATCTCTTTCTCTCCTCTCTTTCAAAGCTCAGCCAACTCCACTTGGCAGCATCCTTTATTTCCCAGACTCCTCTCAAATGGCATGTCTTCATGTCAGCATCCCTCCTGGAGCATATTTGTAATTGGATATTCCACTCTCTTTCCAGTTTTCTGGACTTGATACATCTGACAGCTTTGAGCTGTTGGAAGCTGTGGCGAGCCACCCAAAGCCAGCTACTGTACAATGTTATGGGTTATGTCTTCCCTGGGCTGGTGACCCAGGGCTAATTTGCATTGTTAACATAAAACTATTTAAGTGGCCTTGAGGCCCTGAACAGCAACCCCAACCTCACACCTGTCCCCCTGTGACCAGGGATTCTGCTTCAAGAAGATGAAAGCCTAATGATAATGTTCTTTGTTATGGAAAGTAAAGCTCAGATCTAAGTGGGGCAGTAGCAACCCTACGGTGTGCAGTTGTGCCTTCTTTTAGCAATAGATGAGCTTCAAAAAGCTCTGCACAAATCACATTTAATGAACCATATTCAGGGAGGGTGTGTCTGCCCAGAGGAGCCCTGGCAACATCAGGGTCAAAGATTACGAGGTGTAAAGAAAGTAAAGATTCTGGAGTCTAGATTTTAACCTCATTTAATGGTTCAAAGTGAGGTTAGGAGATGGGAAGTATCACATGGGACATTAATTAATAACAAACCTAGACACTGGGGAGATATGGTAGAAAGTCACTGCGCTTCTATCTGGTCCACACAGAAAATCACATACATTTTCATTCAGGGAGCTTATTTAGAGTGAGCATCCTTCATAGTGCTTCCTCAAACCCACACCTGATTCCTTCCACCCTGGACCCTTCACCATCATTGCCTCAGGCTTCTTGTTTGATTTCACAATTCCCTCTACACAGCCTACAGATCTGAAATAAGAAGAGTAGACAAGACCTATCAGGTCATCTCCCCTCCAGCCTGGCCCTTCCCTCCTTATCTTCCATGTCTTGTCTCCATCTCAGCTTTTCCTGTGCAGGAGCTCCCACAGGCCTTGCCCTCCTCCGTTTCTATAGATCAGTGTGTCTTCTGAGGCTAAGGTATTAAAGCTCTGACCTTCTTATCACCCAAACACCCGGAGGCACTCTCCCTGCTGCTGCCAGAGCCAGTTTGAGGTTTAACCCCTTCCTTCACTTAGGTTCATTTCTGAGAGACCAGACATGCTACCAGCCACCCGCACTGTTTCCCTGGAAACCCAGAGGCATGCTGGCTGTCTCGCTGTGGACTGGAGAGGGGAAGGCATGTCATGTTTTGGTTGCATGACTGTTCCCCTTCACCAGCTCCCAAGCTTCTTGCAGGCTCCTTGGGCATGACTTCTGGTGATTCAGAGCTGCCTCTAGTGAGGGCTTGTCTCCTTCCATCAGTTCAACATGAATCCAAGTCAGCATATGGGAATAAAAGAGGAAAACAAGAAGAGAAAGGCATAGGAATAGTGATGAATCATTCAACAAATGTACTGAGTTACCAGCATTGGGTCCAGTGTGCCTCATATGGACTCAGAAATGCATTGAATCAGTGCTTAGAATCCATCTGGTTCAATCTCCTCATTTTACAGATGGGGAAACTGAAACCGGAGATCTCTCCAGGAGGCAGTTAAAACCACATGTCTGAAAATGACTTAAATCACAGTAACTGTGCTGTGGGCTTGCCAGTGAGCAGCTCAGGCAAGGGCAGAGGGAGGTCAGACTAGGTCAGAGGCGTAGTTAGGTGGTCAGGTAAGACCTCTAGGCTAGACCTGGAATGTTGGATAGGTGACAAGAAGGAAAGAAGGCATTCATGCAGAAGGCTAATAGCATGAGCAAAGGCTTGAGGCAAGAACAAAAAGAGAGTACCGGGGCACAATGACAGATGGGTGTGGCTAAAACAAGGAGTTTGGGGGCAGCGATGAGGGCCAGCGGGGGAGAAGCATAGAACAGCATCAGAGTTCAGGTGCAGGAGTCAGATACTCCAGGAGCCTAATCCTGGCTCCATCAGTACCTTGAACATATCTCCTATGCCTCAGACTCATCTTAATCTGTAAAATAGGAATAACAAGAGTTCTCGTTTCATGAAGCTATTGTGAGGATTAAATGAGATGATGTATTTAGAAGACCTAAGTAGTGCTTGCCATAGGGTGAACTCTCAATCAGTGTTACGTATTGTTAGTAGTAGTAGTGAAACCCAACAACAATGAATCCAGGCTGCCTGTTACCACTTGAGCCAGTTAAGCAGAGACAGGGTTGAATTGCATATGAGTGTTTATTCCAATATTGCCAGCAATATGGCAGAGTAGTAGGTCATCTTGAGAAAAATCTGCTTTTTTGCCCCCCATAAGCTGCTTGGATTGGGTAGAAGG